GTACAATAACAGCTTCGTTTGGATCAGTACTCATCGTGTTTACTGCTGTGGTGTAGTGGCAGTACGTACGATGACTAAAGTGGAAAAGCAAAAAATTCTACATTTTTGTTTCCCTCATGCTATTTATATACCGCGTAAATGAGGCGTGATCTGATCCCTTATCGGTAGATTAGTACGTTACGTATGGTTTGTTTTTTCGTTTTAGAAAAATATAGTCGCCCCCGCAAGGTCAAATCAATTATATAAAGATTATTAAGTAAAATAGAAGCATGATTCACTAACATATCCATTTCAGTCTGTTTAATTTAAACAGTTTTATTAAGTATGAAAATAATGAGTAATGTGTAAAGGCTTTTCCTTAATTGCCTTCACATTTTTAGCACGAAGAATAGTTGACCCGGCCGTCAGGTCAAATTAATTACTGCTGTGAATTAATTTTTATGAGAAAGCCAGTGACAAAGCATCGGCTACTGGGTTGGATGCTTCCCCACCAATCAACTTATTATCTAAACTGGTGGCAACTCCATCGCTGTACAAAATTCGGCAATTGAAACGTTGAAAGCATGCTGCAAAAACATAAGAGTTTATTAAAAATCACCGAGATACTGGTACGCATTATGTTGACTATTTTTTTTCGTGAATAATATTCCTTATTTCACATACTTGATTTATCTTTCCTTTGACATCCCCTGGTGCTAGATGGCGAATATATCGAAGTACTGACGGTGTAAACGCAAACTCCGCTTCACGTGGTCCAATTTCGTTTCTCTAAAAATAGAAATGAAAAAGTTATTGTTATTTAATGTTCAAACATCTATGAACAAATTAGCGAAGCAATCTTTATAACAAACCGATAATTTTGAACTTGTATTACTGTGATTCAAGAAACTTACCATTAACGCATGGGCCCAGGTACAACATATTTGCGAATTTTGCAACACTACTAATAAAAAAAAGTTCGCAATTTTCTTGATGCCGTATTAAATTAATTTGAAATTATATCATATACTAGTAAAAAAAAGTTCGCAATTTTATCAACTTTCATAATTTGCGAATTCTGATACCGTATCTTATTATATACTAGTACTTTATTCTTCACTGGACTCTGAAGATGAGTTCCGCTCAGGTTGTCGAAACGTCAGTCACGATCAAACAATCCTTCTCAGGACTACATCCACCCGGATGATAATATTACTTCGATTAACATTTTTAAGTTTGCCAATTTCAACAAATTTTTAAAATACGTACGAGAAATTCATGGCGTGGAGTTTTGAATGAATCAGTGACGAATACAAAACATCCATGACAAATAGAAAACACGTATGTTGAAACCTTGATGCTGACCATGTAAATGACGAAATATCAATATAAAATAATCTACTAGATTTTAAAATTCATGTGATGAACTTCAAGTTCTCATAACCATCCATTTTGGCGAAGATGGTACGTACGGCTTAGGGGAAACCCCTAATCAGAAATTACCGATTAGTTATTATTATAATATTCTGTCACGCTATCTCACTTGTCAAGTATGCAAATCTGATACGGTCATACTAGTACTGGTCTGTAGATTTTGGGTTACGTTTTCCAGCTGAACACCATGGAATCAAGCGAGATGATCTACTCGACTCGGTTAACTTGACGGACTAACAGACTTACAACTTCTGCAAAGGTACTCCTTTTACTCCTCGCAATCCATCTTGTATGTATTGAATTGAGAAGAGAAAAACTTATGCCATCACGTTTTGGAACCAACTGAGTCATGTCAACTCTTCCAAAGAAAACCGTTTGAAGGTAACATAATTGATGGTAAAACTATTCCTTGCCTTCACTCGATTTATGGATCCTATCTCGTGCAGAATCGAGATGAAAGTGAGAATTGTGTACCGAAATCGGGACGGGTCAGAATTGCTCGCTTCTTGCACAAAACTTCGTTGACCTATCTACTGTTCGTTATTGTACTGAGGGTTTTCTTTTTCCCTTCCGCTCAACCCAACTTCTAAACTCCAATTTGATGGTGAAATGAGGGCGACAGGTTTTTTAGACACTGGAAAAACAAGGATGATAGTTATTAAAATGTTGGAAGCTCAATAGTTTCTGGATAAGTAAGTGATTGGAATCCATGTTGAATTTCAGTGGAAAGTGTCAATTTGTGAAAATGTAAAAAATCTTTTCATTTGGATATTATTATTAWTTRCTTATATTAATAGGTGTGTAGTGACTAGACTGAAATRAATCCTGCATSRATSTTGTTTTCTTCTGATTTGACTTCGACTTCATGAACTACAATGTTAGTTTTAATCATTCAGTTTAGATAAAATCTTAGCACTAAAAATTCTACAGTTACAATATATGAAAGTAGTACTGCTTTTGTTACACAAGGTACTTTGATCCCTTTTGAACTAATAGTTGACGCGGTTTTTGCTGGAACTGTATATATTTGTTTTTTCTTTCTTTGAGATCTAATGCTCAGTACATGTGTGTAAGAATATATCCATAGCTATCTATCTACTTCATAGCTATCTATCTGATTACAAAACTACTATCTGATTACATGAACATTTGCGTCACACACTCTAATGTTTACATAACGACTTAGTCACGAAATGCCGTACTAGTTTTTTGTCTCACACTTTGCACTAAAATTACAATCTGTCAAAATACAAAATCCTTCAGACTAAAACTATCAAGATATATCCCAACTGTTAAATCTACCAAACACATCTTATATGAATCGATCTCAATAGGTGACTTGAAAAAAGTGCATGCACAACCATAAATAGCTATGTGAGTCAACAGAATAACTTCAAAACTAATATGCAGGTCCTATTTAGTAATGGTTAACTAGTGGAGTTGTTGAAGTACTCAGTGGTGTTATGTGCAAACATTTCATAGTTTTGAAGACCAATCTAGAAGTAGGGTTCTGAAGTCTTTGAATTTTGGGTAGTTGATAGTTGTACAAGCATCGTCAGAAGTACGAATATAATCCCCTCTACATTTATGCTTTGTTACTTCTACAGGTAGTTGTTGCTCTAATTTCTAATGGCCTTCCTCAGTCTGTAAATAAAACAAAAGTTCAAATATGAAAGTCAGAAAGAAGTATATAATTTAACAATAATAATAATAATAATAATAATAATAATGTTGATAATGATGATGATGATGATAATAAATTAATAAGAATATTGATAATAAACAATTTATATAGCTCCAAAACCCCAAAGTTCAATGGCGCTTCGTACAGTATTCATGAAATATATAATTATATAAATATGTGTAAAAAGTGTGAATATATATTTTTGTTAGCATAAATCAAAAATAAATATTATAAAGTGTTCAAAATAAATGAGTCTTAAGGTTCTTTTTAAAATGTTCCAAATTATTTTCCTATCGCAGTGGTTCAGATTGCTCCACAACATATAACCACGTACAGAAAAGGCCCTATCGCCATACTATTTGGTGCGTGATAATAAAACTGTCCAAGGGAAAAATGTTGCCTAGATAAATACATCCGCAATATTCTGTTAAACTAGTACTAAGAGAAAATTCTCTTGACTGGTACTCTTGACTAGTATACATAAAACGTTGAATTAAACGAATAATAATAATGATAATAACTCTTTGTTAGAACGCATTTTAATGGATCTGAAGGAAAATAGTAACCATAAGTCGGAAAATAGAAGATTTCGTTAAAAGTTTTTTAGGGTGGAACCAAACTAATTCAGAGCGAATTTTGGACAATCTTGTTCGTGATCGCTTCGCAAAACAAATGCGTCAATTTAACTGTATTTTTCATATAATGTGCTTTAATTATCCTAGATTCTAACAGTGTATTTTATTTTAAAATTTTTTAAATGTTTAGCCAAATACGGCTGAAAATCAAACAGTGCTATTTTTAGTTTTTGGCTTTTTTCTCCTCATCCCAAGGTACGATTTTTCTGAAATTTTCTTATTATCTAGTACTATTGCAGCCTGTGTATAAATTTGGATGGAAAGTCTTGGGCAGGAAAAAAGTCGTCGCTTGAAAATTCGGTCCAAAATTTGCAAGCATATAAGACATCGCGCTGTAGAAACACCACCATTAAATGGATTGCCACATACCTATTTCCAAGTATTGTGGATGAGCCTTACGAAAAATCAGCATCAAATCTTTAAAACATTCATCGAATAATTGTTTTTTTACTAATTGTCGTTGTGAACCTCAAATATTAGAGTTTTGCTAAAAAATCACATTTTCGCCTTTATCTTCTAAACGGCTCCAAGTTTTTTCTTTAAACTTCCTACATCAATATACCAGAGCTTTATCTAGATGGTAGTGAAATTTCTATAGCTCGTCCTATCCAAATTTCGGAGAAAACGTTTTTTAAAGTGAGGTATACCCAAAGAGCTCGCCTCGTCGGTCGACAACAACGCTCTCGGTCGTTCCGCACGGTTAAGATCGGGAGAATATTTGCATAACGACATCTTCAATTCATAGAACGTTTTCCAACAACCGGGGTTAGAAATTCTAATGAGTTTGCTAATATGCTAATGATCTACGTAACGTACTGCCAGCTAAATTATACCGAAATAATCTGCGTGAAGAAGATTAAATTTCAAAATGTTAGTCTTATTGCACTTTCTGTGAACCTGACACAATTTCCAGGAATGTAAACGAACTCAACGTTCTAATATAAATTTATTAAAAACCTAACAAGTAATACAAGACTTTATATTTTTTATTCAACGTCAACGTTTGTATCAGAAAAAAATACAAATGAGTGGAATAAGCTAGCATGGAAGTTTTCTGTACACAGAAATACCTTTTTAGTTTGTTATAAATGTTCAAATAAGGGTACTCGACGTTCAGCAAGAAATGACGCAAGCTCCACACATACTGGAAGAAGCCATCTAGGATGTCTCCATAACTGTCATATGGCTTTGTACACTTTTATTCTCTTTAAATACATGTTCCACCTTGATTCGACGTCGTGACAGACACGTGTTAAAGCGCCTTGCCCGCCTACTTTCTCTTGGGTTCAGCAAACGCATTTGATTTGCTCTTACAGCCGTCAGCAATGGTCCACCATCAGGATAAGCCTTGTCCACTAGAGGTTTTGCACTGTGTGGTAGGTCCAGAGGCTGTCCTGGTCCAATGCGGGTCATCGGCCTGTAAGATGTCGCATCGTGTGTACTACCAAGAAACCCGGCTTGAACATATCTCAAGTGGCCAAGGTTATCAATGATAAGTTGAGTGTTGAAACAGTGGTAGTGACGGTGCCCACTATAGAACGACCTCTCGGGCTCTGTTATGGGTCGGTATATCTCATGCTGGGTTGCGTCTATAGCGCCCACTGCGTTTGGGAATTTTGGCCAATTTCCCCTGATATTGGCTCATTTATTTACATTTAACCAGCGAATTTGATTTTGGAAATACCTCCACATCTCTGGTATAACTCTGTATATAATTCGCACAACAGTTGATGGGTCGGTATCGAACCACAGAGCTAGACTTTCTACATGCAGATATTTGCGTATAGCCACAATAAGGTTAGCAGGGCCCCTATGGATATCAGCCTAGTTGCTGAAAGGGCTACCCTGTTGAAATAAAGTCTTTATCATTATAACTTGATTTGTGATGTTGAGTTGTAAGCGTCCTAGTCGTTGACGTGGTAATCCATCCCTTGTTAAACGTAATAGAGCTGGAGACACATCTGCTACCAGCTGTAGAAATGACTGTGGGGTTTCATGTGTATTTCTCCAAAACAACCATGGCTGTCTTTGTATTAGAGAGAACACATCCCTGCCATCAAATCCACTGCCACGGAAGCCTGGAAGAAGACGTCTATTTGACGGCACGTTTTGTATGTCTAACGGAGGCTGGAAAGCAGACAGAAGTATCAAAATTGCGAGTATTTGCAAAAGCAGCACACGTATATCCTGAATCTGCATCTCAAGTTCACAGTGACTACCAGTCAAACTTCTATTTTTGAATAATTAAAATCGAAGCGTGCAACTAACACCGTTATTGTAATTAGTCCAGGCTGTTTGGAGTTTTGCACTTCGCAATTTTCTGAGCATTCAGTGCCCATTGAGTGACAATTGAGTTTAGCTAGTTTACTTGATTATTTCTGATAAACGTTTCGTCAAGATGTCACAAAAAGATTCTCTAATACCGGGAAATTCACATGGGTTAGGTAAGTAAATCATTTAAAGCCCATTTCTGGACTATTGCGACAAATTAATTTTATTATCTATTTCAACTTATGGTTTGTAAATTTAATTATGATAGGATCACTACCAAAGCGTGCTAATGTTGGTGAGAAGGAAATTGAATTTCTTTCTAAATGCTACAACGAATGTAATAGCAAAGAGTGGCCTGACATCCTACAGTACTGCAAAGAAAGGATCCTAGAGGCACAACTCCCTCATCATGTTGTGGCACTCTATCTAAGGAGCCCACTGGCGAGTCGACTGATTACCAGAATGAAGAACATTTTAAAGAAATTGTTGCCTTCCCCGACTGAACCAATAGACTCCATGAAGTATGCAGAGAAGAAAACGCCTTCCCATAGAAGACAAGCAGTGAAGGACAACTTAGAGGGAGAGTATGTGGCGTCATCATCATGCGAGAGCGAGTTTGATGAAAAAGATGACTGTATTGCCGGTACGAACAAGGTATCTAAAAAGAGGAAGGTTAACAATGCAGCAGAAAACCAAGCTGCACATAAGAAAATGTGCGAAAGGCTTTGGAAACGATGAGTAAAGTAGATGCTGTTTTAAGGTGGGAAAATATCTAGATAAAAATAACTAAGCTATAAAAAATGGAATCCAATCTTCAATCTCGACTGTTATAGCTGGCTGGTATATCGTCACTTGTACTTAAAGACTTGTAATTTACAAACGTTGCTGATAAAGGAAATTTCTATAAAAATCTTGTAACAATTTTTAGTGAGTTTTTAGAGAAGTAAATTCGTTGGTGCTGGCCTATCTCCAGCTTCTCAGAATTTTCATATGTATTACATATGAAACTTCTGAAAAGCCTGCGGAGATAGGCCAGCACCAGCAACAGCGAGTTTACTTCTCTAAAAACTAAAKATAGCGTTAATAGTTTTGAGCTTTTTAACGTTGAGTTCATTTACATTCCTGGAAATTATGTCAGGTTCACAGAAAGTGCAATAAGACTAACATTTTGAAATTTAATCTTCTTCGCGCAGATTATTTCGGTATAATATAGCTGGCAGTACGGTACGTAGATCATTAGCATATTAGCAAACTCATTAGAATTTCCAACCCCGGTTGTTGGAAAACGTTCTCATGTCATTGTGTTTATGCAAATATTCTGCCGAACCTGTCCCGAAGTTAACATTAGGGACTTTAAGATACGCCGACTACGGACTACCGACTACGGTTGGACGCGTATTTTCTTCCATGGAGTACTGGGCCTAGTACACTACGCGGGGCGCGAAAATATGAAATTAAGATTCATTGACTACTGACGACCGACTACAAACAAATCCTCTCGCCTTCTTTTCATTATTTTTCTTCTTTTCCAATAATGTCTTTTCAAAAAGTTCGAGATAACCTGGTTTATGGCTTAGCAGATGGAATTCTTGATGAAGAGGAGTTTATTCTGTTGTACGATGCTCACGAGTGTGTAAATCCGGCTTATCCATATTGGGAATACGATGATTTCAAACTCGATAACTTAGATTCAAGCGAATGCATAAGTGAATTCAGAGTGAGTAAGGAAGACCTCCCTCTTTTAGCTGATGCTCTTGGAATTCCAAGACAGTTTAGATGTCCTCAAGGAACTGTATGCAGTGGATTGGAAGGTCTATGTATTCTACTAAAGCGCTTGGCATATCCTTGCATGTTACTTTGACCTGATTCACCGTTTCCTTCGGCCTGTTCCAGAATTCTGCATGATCTACAATGTTGTTTTAGACTGGATTCATACTAACCACGCTCACAGACTTACATGATCATGGAACGAACGCTTTCTTTCTCCAGCTAACCTAGAGCAGTATGCCCAAGCTATATATCAAATGGGATGCCCATTGACTAATTGTTTTGGTTTTATCGATGGCACCGCCCGTCCAATATCACGACCAGAAAAAAATCAGAGGATTGTATGTAATGGGCACACACGTGTGCATTCCATCAAATTTCAATCTTTAGTTATCCCTAATGGATTAATTGCCAACCTTCATGGTCCTTTCGAAGGTCGTCGACATGATGCTGGTATGCTAAATGAGTCAAATATGTTAAATGCCTTACAAATGAATGCACATACCCCAGGTGGACAAGCACTTTGCATTTATGGGGACATGGCCTACCCATTACGACCACAACTTATGTGTCCATACAGACAGGGTGACTATACAGGTCCTCTAACCCCACAAATGAGGGCTTTCAATGCAGGAATGAGCAAGGTACGCATATCAGTCGAGTGGCTTTTTGGGGATATTGTGACTTATTTCCAGTCTCTTGCTTTTAAGAGAAACTTAAAGATAACTTAACTCGTGCAGACAGTCAGCTATATTTTATTTGTACATAAATTGAACTATTACTTAGTTGATAGACTGAGATCTCTTATATGATATACAGATGAACATGAACATGATTATTTTGATGTAATATTCAGTTTCTATAATCAAAGGCATCATCATTTTGGTGTCCATCGAAAGCAGGTGATACAAGTTGAGACTAAAATAGGAAATGGCAAGTAAGGTAAATTCTCATATTTAACCTATGTTCATAGGTTGTTTATATCATCTATGTAATGAGATAATTATGGCATTTTCCAGACTAGCATTTTATCTGTCTCAGCTCTTTATGTCCTCCTATGATGTGAACCCTAAAACCTGAAGTATTGCACTTAAACGAAATAAATAATGTACCATCCATTTTCGTTCATTGGACTGGATTTCACACTTATTGGGAAAGGGACGAATTTTTGGCGAGCAAAAATATGAGGCCTGTGTTTACATATGCTAATTAGTTGCCTCAAAAGAAAAAAATGATTTAACCATGGGCAAGTTCTCTGATTGAAATAATATTTATGCTGCTAGTTGAGGAAAATAAGATTATAAAGCTATTTAGAGAACGCTTCTATAGTGTAGTATCCATAGCAACTAATCATGTATGATAATTAGCYAAGTTGTGAATAATAAATAGTTTGATCTAGATATGGCGCCGAGTCACTACATATGGCGACGAGTCGGGATCTAAAAACGCCGAAAAGAAGCAGAAACCAAGAGGAAAGGGAAAGGAAGTCAACCCAAGAGAAAGAAAATCAACTCAAGATAAACTAGGATCCGACCAGTAAAGAAGAAAAAGCAGCGAAAGAAGAAAAATTAGGAGAGTCATTCTAGCACGTGCAGAGAAACATGTCCGATAACGACGACCCGACAGTATCACCAGCAGCAGAAAAAACAGAGATCAAAGTATTTACAACAACAAAAGCACTGAGCATTGAAAAGTTCAAAACCCCAGAGAATAGATTAGAAACGGGTAGAGCTTGGGAAGAATGGTTAGAGGATTTCGAGGAAGAAATATCCTACTTAGAAATTGAAAAGGTCAAAGACAAGGTCAGCGCTTTGAAAATTTACGGCGGACCAGAAATCAAGAAACTTGCTCGAAACCTACCCAAACCGATAGGAGAAGAAATCGAGGACGACTACGAGAAACTCAAAAGGAAATTAAACAACCATTTTCTACCTAGGAAGAACAAACACCATGCGAGATACACATTTAGCAAGGAGAGAATGGAATCCAACGAGACAATTGTCAATTACGCGGCAAAGATAAGAGAGAAAGCGAAGGATTGCGAATTCGGAGACCAACTCGACGAGCGTATTCTAGAACATCTGATCCAAACTGTTTCGAACGAAGACCTCATAAAAGAATGCATAAGAAAGAGATGGAATCTGGATCGATTCATAGACGAAGCGAGCCAACGCGAAGACATCAGCCAACAAGTGAAAGACATGAAAACCGAACACAAAGTGGCTAGACTAAATCGTGGCAAACTACCGACCAAACCACGACAACAAGATAGAAGATCACAGCAAAGACCRAATAACCAGCAAGCAAGAAGACAACAGCATGCTAAACCCGGAGGATATAATAATACCGAAAAACCGTGTTACTACTGTGGCAACACAGGAACACACAAACCAGGTAAAGACTGTCCAGCATATGGGAAGCAGTGTTTAAAATGCGGAAAATACAACCAATTCGCGAAATGCTGTAACAGAACACAGAGAAAAGAAAAAGAGAACAGTAAAACAGCGAGACCCCAGAGACAGGTGAAAAAAAACGCAGAATCCAGCAGCGAATCCGACGAGGAATTCCTGCAGCAAACAGCCAGCCACATTGACCAGAGAGCCAAAAGCGTGAGATCAGGAGGAAAGACGAACACCATGCGATTAAGAATAGCAGACCTAGACGCAGACATGGAGCCCGACAGTGGRGCTAGCGCTAACATAATGGACGAGTACCAATTCAGAGCACTCAAGCACAGATCTCAAGAGATACAGGAACTGTTCCCAAGCGAAGAAAGAGTAAGAACATTATAGAGCAAGCTAGAGGTTAAAGGAGAATTTCCAGTAACGCTGAGAAACAARACCAGAGGAGTGAAGACGAAATTCCTAGTAATAAAAGGGAAGATGGACTCACCACCACTCATAAGCAAGAAGACACTACTAGACCTAGGAATGCTCAGAATTGAACCAGACGGAATACTAAAAGAACCCAACGACCTGAGAATTAAGACCGTTAGCACAACCTCGGACGACATCGAGAGACTCTTGACAGAGTTCGACGACGTATTCCAAGGAATCGGATGCTTCAAAGAGAARGATACGGGAGAGAGCATGCAGGTCAAGCTTGAGATGGACCCAGACGCGACACCCATAGCACAGAAACCGAGAAACGTACCCTATCAC